GTTTTTATTACAGACTAATAGTTAAACAGTGTTAGCATTTTGTATTCTTTAACTATCTTTTTTTTGAAAATACAATGTTTTTTCTTGTATGAAATCATTATGATAATAATTCAGCCTGTACTTGTCATATTATGTTTTGATATATGAGGTTTTACCAGCATATTTGTTTTCAGAATGTTAATCCAAACCCAAGAGTATCATGTGGACCTTATAAGCCTTTGTATAAGAAAGCTGAAATAAACACCAAGGTTTCAACACCGCAGTTTGGACCAAACAACCATGATACGGTTGGAATGGTTGTGATTGATAATGAAGGGAGAATGTGTGTGGGAACGTCAAGTAATGGAGCCAAGCATAAGATTCCAGGGTATGGTGGATATGTTTTTATTTTATAACCATAAAATTTGGTTATGAATTAGTTTTTAATTTAGTCGTAGCATGTTTTTTATGAAATAGTTTTTAATGTAGTAGTAATATTATTCTTAATCTTGTGGTAGCATTGTTTTGTAGATTAGTTTTAAGAATAGCATAAATAATATGTAAAAATAAATAATTTTCAATCTAGTAATAAGATTATTTTATAAATCAGTTTAACATAGCAGTAAGTGCTGAGCTCAGTTAGTTACTCCAAGGTATGAAGCCAGGATGCCATTAAATTGACAGTATGTTGAAATATTTAAGATATATATTATTTTTATCCAGCGAAATGTAAAGCATTGCATTTCTCTTTTAATAGACGTGTAGGAGATTCTCCTATCCCAGGAGCAGGAGCATATGTGGATCAGGACATAGGCGGTGCAGCAGCTACAGGAGATGGTGATATTATGATGAGATTTTTACCCAGGTTAGTGTCATCTACAGAGTGTTAAAAAAGGTTATATTTATTGAAACAAAATCATTCTGTGCAATACACATAATGAAACATACTCTCACACAAAAATACCCATACAAAAACACATCTGTACAATTACAACATTTTGTGTAACAAACACTTTAGTAGAATAGACATAATAAAAAAATATATCTGTAAACATCGAGATTTTTATGGTAACAGAGTTTTATGTCAAAAGATTACTACAATACATATGGAAGAAAATCCATAAGATGTGTATATTTACATTTATGGTAACAGATTTTAATGAAACAAGTAAGTTACTGAGATAGAAGGAAGTAGTCACACAGAAAACTTGTATTTCATTCATATGCTTGGTAAAATAATTAATGCAACAAACAATCTATCATAAATAATACAAAAATATATAAAACATGTTTCCTTTACATCAGATTTAATTGCAATACATAAATGGTTGAGGACATTATATTAAAACAATTTTGAATATGCATATCAATAATTCACATGATAAATATGGCCAATATAAGGTTATGGTAAAATAGCATGTATTAGAATTGCATTTTGAAATTGTTCATACAAAGATATTTCAGATCAGGAATTTATAATTTCTAAGTCAGGGATATCCATTTTACTTAGTAGTATTAGAAAACAAAGGAATATGGATCAACTTGGAGCACCAGGGCAATCTAGAAAGAGTTCTACAATGAGTCGTACCCCAGCTGTGGTAAGCAGAATGCATCATCTTACAATAGATGAGAATCCATAGTCACAAAGGTCAGTGACAAATGCCATCCATGTGCTTTAGTTAGCAGTACCTAAAGTTGCTTTCATGATATATCAACTATCACATTCCTCAAGCAGCTAGAGAATGAAATAGGTATTCATACTGTTACAATCAAATCAAGACATACTGGTCAAGTTGCCAGATGCAGTGCCTATGGACATTTGTTTGATCAGCCTGTTGAAGCATTTGCAAGCTGGGAAATCATTATTCTTGTACACTACATGGATTAGGGAAACCAGCATGCAAGAGAGATATGTTTTTGACATGACAACCTTATGATAAAATCTTTTGCAATGGAAAATATAACTTTTAAATATTCAATTACTTGAAAGCTTTCCTCTTGTATTCATAACACAGCTTGAAACTGGCTGACTAACACAGTCAGTTATTGATCAAAAATGTAACAGATTCACAAATCAACTAATCAACTGAATGGCTTACTGACTGGATTAACTTTGTTTCACTCACTCAGCGACTAACTAACCAACTAATCAACTATATGGGTCACTGGCTGGATTATCTTTGTTTCACTCACTCAGTGACTAACAAACCAACTAATCAACTGAATGGGTCACTTGCTGGATTAACTTTGTTTCACTCACTCAGTGACTAACAAACCAACTAATCAACTCCAGCAAGTGAGCCATTCATTAACTTTGTTTCACTTACTCAGCGACTAACAAACCAACTAATCAACTGAATGGCTCACTGATTGGATTAACTTAGTTTCACTGACTAACCAACTAACTCACAAAGTGGTATTATTATACAAAACTCATTTTCCTCATACGTCCTGAGGTATTGTGTCATAATTAATTAATGCTAAAAACTCCCTCTATTGAAAAAATGTGTAAACTAAAATATTAAAAGCATATCCTTCAACACTAAATTGCTCTTTGAAATATATTGGTGTCATTACCAGGTTTATTCTAAATATGTGTCTGAATTATGAATGGTGGCATTATGCACCTGATGTATTATACATTTCTTGTACTAGGGTTCATTATCTAATACTCTACACCTCCTCTTAAACTGTTCATTGTTTTATTCACATGATCCAGATTTTTCATTGAATTTGGCTTTTTCACATTATACGCTTGGTATATCCTTGATTTTTTCACATTATACACTTGGTATGTCCTTGATTTTTTAACATTATACAGTTGGTATATCCTTGATTTTTTTTACATTACACAATTGGTATATCCTTGATTTTTTTCACATTATACACTTGATATATCCTTGATTTTTTTTTTACATTATACAATTGGTATATCCTTGATTTTTTTCACATTATACACTTGGTATATCCTTGATTTTTTTTACATTATACACTTGGTATATCCTTGACTTCTTTTACATTATACACTTGATATATCCTTGATTTTTTTACATTATACACTTGGTATATCTTTGATTTTTTTACATTATACACTTGGTATATCTTTGATTTTTTTACATTATACACTTGGTATATCCTTGATTTTTTCACATTATACACTTGGTATATCCTTGATTTTTTTACATTATACACTTGGTATATCATTGATTTTTTTACATGATATAATTAATACCTGAAACCATTGGTACTTGGCAAAAGTCCATTATTACAGTATTGAGGAAAAAGAAGAGAAACAAAGACAACTGTATGTCTCACAAAAACTTTATTTATCAATGACCATGGTTTTTCCAGTAAAAGCATCATCAGGTACAGATCTGATGATGCCTTTACTGATGAAATTATCATTGTTGATAAATGAAGTTTTTGTGAAACATACAATTGTCTTTGTTTTTTTTTCCTCATTTCTGTTAGTTGTATTATATTCATTTTGTGTATTCTTGATTTTCACTTGGGCTCGGTTTAGTTGTATTTTATTCTTTATATATCCTTGACTTTTCCTTAGAACTAGGCTTAGTTATATTTTGTTCTTTGTGTATCCTTGATTTTCCCTTGATTTAGGCTTATTTGTATTGTACTCGTAGTGTATTCTTGATTTTCACTTGAATTAAATTTACTCGTATTATACATTTGGTGTAATCTTGATTTTGCTTTGAATTAAGCTTGTTTGTAGTTTACTTCTTTTGTATCCTACATTTTCTTTTGTATTAAGGTTAGCTGTGTTATAAACAAAGCATCCTAGGTTTCTCTTAAAGTAGCGTTGGGTTTTAATATACCACATGTGTATACTAGGTTCCTCTCTAAACCTGTGGGTATTTTGAGATGTCACACTTAGTTGTGTTCTACTTATTGTGGTTAATTTTTTTCCTTCCACATCTGGTTTACCCTACATGAAATAGGTTTTGTTTATCTTAATCATTATCATTTTCTTTTCTGAAGTTACCAAGCAGTAGAAAACTTGCGACAAGGAATGACCCCTCTTGCTGCTGCAACTGATGCTATCTATCGAATAGTTAAGAAATATTCCGACTTTTCTGGTGGAATCGTTGTTGCCAACATTAAGGGAGATTATGGTAATAAATGTAACTTAAGGTGTAATGTAACTATTAATATATGGATTTTATAGAAATTAATATTGGTGAAAATTAATAAATAGAAATTTTATAAAGTGGTTTATATGGAATTAGTTAAACATGATATGACTAAGTTTGTTGAGTAACAGAATGTTTTATACACATATAAAGTGGTTTATAGGGAATTAGTTAAACACAATATGACTAAGTTTGTTTAGTAACAGAATGTTTTATGCACATTTTTTACAATAAAGTTTAGCATGCTTGTTTTCCTTTTTTCAAGCACATGTATTAAAAGAGGAGTTACTTAAAATTTTTAAATGTGTTTATGTTAACAAATGCATTGTTTTGTCTTAGTCTTAACTGTTTTCTGAAAGTTTTGTCTTTCACACAAGATTTCAGGAAAATATGTGATTAATCTTTGTATTGTAAAAACAAAGAACTACATAGAATTTTAAATTGTAAAACAACAAAAATATTAGGGTTAAGGCAATCGGATATTAGTTGTTGTTACAGTTAGTAGCAAGTACAATCACCTAAGTCTAATTATTTATTAGTTTTTTATTACAAGGAACTAATTACCAACTAGTTTTGTCCTTTTGTTACTAATATGCTACTGTTTTTAGGGAAATCCTGATATGGAATGTTTCTGTGTTGATAGCAACTGGGAATCAATTCTGTGTTTTCTTAATAGAGAGGCTGGTGTGCTATACACTCATCCAGGGTCGTCTCCCATTACGTCTAACTTATTTATTGGCTTCCAGGATTTGTTGACTGTTATGCTTTGGACTGAGTGTGTTTTCAGCTAGATTATTGTATAAGGCTTTTATTTTGTATTTACTTCTCCAGTTTTCTATTTCCTTACAGGTGCAGTACACGGAATTACCAATTTTTTTTTCTCTCTGTATAACACCCTACAATAGTCTCCTCCTTCCTTACAGGTGCAGTGCATGGAATTACCAATTTTTTTTTCTCTCTGTGTAACACCCTACAATAGTCTCCTCCTTCCTTACAGGTGCAGTGCATGGAATTACCAAGTTTCCTTTCTCTGTATATAACCACATGATAGTCTCTGTCAGGAACTTACTTTTTTATATTATATATAGTAAGTTAGAATATATGGGTGTGTTGGGTTAAGGATTCTTCAACAGTAGGTATGTGTGACTTGTTGGTGATAAATTGAAAAAATAAACGAACAGCATGCACTCCACTTGTTTACAGATAATGTAAATATATATATATGTATTCGGAACAAGTTAAATATACGTACAGAAATTCATTACACTATGGAGATCATAGCTATATCATAAACACTGTATAGTTCTCTTTTTCTTGTCAAAAGTCCACTTCCGATATGGTACTTACCTCTTCTCACAAAATTAGCTATTTTTGTTCAGTGCTGCCCTCTATATGAACCCGAATATCAGGGGAGGGAAGAAAATTCAAAAAGGGGTGGGAAGATTGGTCATGTAGTAAGGAAGGACGTGGCTCATAAGAAATAGAAGAAAGGGATAAAACTAAATAATTTCAAGAAAACCACTTTGTGAGGAAACTTAAGCCGAACATGAATCTTTAAAGAAACAAGAGGCACATCTGAACACAACCACTGTCCAACGAGTTCGGTAGAGGAGTAGAGAGGAAGTCACATGAACCATGTGAGCATGTCATGCTCCTATTGGTGAAGAAGTGACGCATGATGATTTGCATGAGACACGTGTTGGAATCTTTCAATTCCAATAGGAGGGAGAAGAAGGCTTGTGGCATGCATAAAGAAAATGTTTGCATATAGAGGGTAGTACTGAATGAGAATAGCTAATTTTGTGAGTAGAGGTAAATACCTATTGGAAATACATTTTCAGTATAGAAAAATTATAAATTAGGCCTATTCAATTGCTTTAAAGTTCAGTTGACAAACTGAACTATTTTTCTCTATTTCTATTGCCAAACTATCTGTGTGTAGTTCACTTACGTTGTTGGTGAGTTACCGCAGTTGTATCCTGTACTTCAAAAATTGTCTGCTCCTTTTCTGTATTTCCAAGAATCAGCTGTCTTTTCTAAAAGTCTATTCAGGCTGGTTCAATTAGTTTAGAACACCCTTTGACAAGACAACTTATTCTCCTTATCTCTTCAAAATTGTTAATCTCACTCTATCTTGTCAACTGTTAGGTCTCTCACTCCCACCACGATTAACTTAGAGTTTAACATTTCTCTGACTGAACTTCTCCTTCCCGTGACTTTGCCTTACTCTCTTCTGCACTTTTCTTGCTGCTATTTATATGTCTATCACTTAGGTTTTCTAGAAATCACTGTATCCTTGACATCGATGGATTGTGTGCGAAGTTCGATAGCCTCGACATAAATGAATTATTATACAGAGTGTATGATTCTTACTGAGTTATATAACCAAACTTGTCATAACTTATTGCCTTTAAAATAATTGCTTTTAAATCTCTTTTTTTTTTGAATAAAATAATTAATAATACCTACATTAAACATTTTTATATCTGATAGTCTCTTACATCCTTACAGGTGCAGTACATGTTTCCCTTTTCTGTATGTAACCACATGTGTTTTTTTGTAATGGACACTATTCAATGAAAATTAAAACATTATAAACAGTAGTTATTTAAAGTACCAGGATATGCAGTTAGTGCTATTTGCACAAAGTTCACTAACTCAAGGAGGTTTGTGTGATAATAAGAAATTGAGACAAAGGCTCTATGTGCTAATAAAACATAGAACATTTACTGATGCTAATAATATTTTCAATGATACAGACATAGCTTTTCATAACTATTTGATTTTTAATCTAATATGCACTTCAAAGTACTAAATTTTTTTCCAACAAATTTACAGATATCTCCTTTAGATATTTATGTCAAATGAAATACAACTTATGAAGGAGCTGAGACTTGTTCTATGGTCAGTTGAGGAGTCCCAAAGTGGTCTTTACTGAAGAATGACTAACAGTAGTTTTACCATAGCCTTTATACTCTATTGCTATGTAACCTAGATTTATTAGCATGCAATGCATAGGTGCTACTCACCTAAAAACTAATAATAGTCATGAACTCTACACAGAAGACTATTTGTTGTGTAAGGATTGCATCAGCTTGAGGTCACTGATATTTTTGATTCAAGTACAACTTTGAGTGAGAGTCTTTTCTCACTACTAGTTCTTTTGAATCAATGTATCTCTTAACTTTTTCATGCCTCACTATTTTGCTCATTAGCAACCAAATGGTAATGGTTTGCCATTTCTCTTACATAAACATCCTTTAGCAGAAAACCTGGCCATAAGATAAACATCCTTTAAAAAAGTTCTGGCCGTAAGATAAACACCCTTTAAAAGAAAGTCTGCTCATAAGATAAACATTTTTTGACTGAAAGTCTGTCAATAAGATTAACATCCTTTAAAACAAAATCTGGCTATTAAGATAAACATCCTTTAACAGAAAGTCTGTCCATAAGATAAGCATCCTTTAACAGAAAGTATACCCTTAAAGTAAACACCCTTTAACAGAAAGTTATGGCCATAAGATAAACACTCTTTAACAGAAAGTCTGGCCATAAGATAAACATCCTTTAACAGAAAGTCTGCTCATAAGATAAACATTCTTTGACTGAAACTCTGTCAATAAGATAAACATCCTTTAAAAGAAAATCTGGCCATTAAGATAAACATCCTTTAACAGAAAGTCTGGCTATAAGATAAACAATTTTTATCAGAAAGTCCGGCCATTCTATCCATAGGATAAACATTCTTTAACAGGATGTTTGTCCATAAAATAAACACCCTTTAACAGAAAGTCTGGCCATAAAGTAAACACCCTTTAACAGAAAGTCTGGCCATAAAGTAAACATACTTTAACAGAAAGTTCTGGTCATAAAGTAAACATACTTTAACAGAAAGTTCTGGTCATAAAGTAAACATACTTTAACAGAAAGTTCTGATCATAAAGTAAACATACTTTAACAGAAAGTTCTGGCCATAAAGTAAACATACTTTAACAGAAAGTTCTGGCCATAAAGTAAACATACTTTAACAGAAAGTTCTGATCATAAAGTAAACATACTTTAACAGAAAGTTCTGGCCATAAGATAAATATCCTTTAACAGAAAGTCTGTCCATAAGATAAACATTTTTTGACTGAAAGTGTGTCCATAAGATAAAAATTTTTTGACAAAGTGTTATCATAAAATAAACATCCTGGTCAACTATGCACTAGAGTGGCAGCCATGTGATTAAACTGGAATGTGTTTATATTCACAAATGGATGATTAAATTTTTATATGAACTGTTTGCTAACTCTAATACACTATCAGTGTGAAAACTGCAAATAAACTTGACTAAACATGCTTCCATTATATGGCAATAGTTAACACAGGAATAGGCTTTTCTCCTCTGTTTTATATGTTAGCTTTAATTTTTTCTGCCTTTCCTACTTATGATTATTTTATTCCTTACAGGTGCAGCATGCCATGGAATGAATGAGTTTCCATTCTCTGTATGCAACCCTGTGTTAGGAACAGTTAAAGTTAACTATGTTCAATGTATAAGTATTTAAAAAATTGTTTAGAAGAAATATATTTAATGAATTTCAATGTCTTAGAACAATAATTGTGTTTTTTTATAATAAATGTAAAGTGATTAAAGCTAACTATGCTCTATAATGTATTGAAGTGATTATTCTAACATTTTTTATTTTAGAAATGTAACATTTGGTCTTCCTCCTTGTGGTTAAGCCCCAGAATATTTACGATATATTAAACTAGGTTTCTGAAAATTACTTCTGTACTTTAATTACAGACTAGTATAATACATTTTACGTATGAAGAAAAGAAGAGAAACTTCAATTTATAAAAATACAGAAAAAAAGAATGAATTTTGTGGATATAAATGTAAGCATTGTCAATCAAAATCTTTATACAACAAACACTTTGAATATTTAATTATAAGATATAATACAAGGTTTATTATGCACAGTAGGTTTGAAGAATTTAAGGGGCTGCAACTTTCTATTAAAAGAAAAGTAGACAATATTTTGGCTTCTATACTGAGGCCTTTTTCAGGACCTATACAACACACTATTTATTATATACAATATAATTTGAACAGCATTTCAAAATTTTGAGAACAGGGCTTTCATAACCAATGTTCTCCTCCTAATTTCTAACACCAGTTTTCTCTAATTTCTCTGTAACTTCAGCAACCTTCTTACTACACAGAATACCACAACCTTTTAAACATGATCTCATCTACATCTTAATTTTTAACTAAATTATTGAGGTAATGAAAAATCTTAAATATGAAGTCCAATCTTTATTAACTATCATTCAACTCACCTCTTGTCACTGAGTTATACTTATTTTGGAGTATTCTACCCCTCATCAGTACTTTCAGCAAAGATGAATTGAGTAAACCAGATTATGCTTCTGATACTGGTGACTGTGTATTATATTTATGGCATTTTGTTCTGGTATTCACTGCAATAAACCTGTTTCTATAGAATTTGAAGATAATGTTAATAGTTTATACACACTGCACTAAACCTGTGTTTGTATAGGATTTGAAGATAATATTATTAACCTGTTTATATAGGATTTGAAGATAATATTATTAGTTTATATTCACTACAACAAACCTGTGATTATATAGGATTTGAAGAGAATGTTAGTGGTTTATACACACTACAATAAACCTGTTTCTATAGGATTTGAAGATAATGTTAGTAGTTTATATTCACTACAGTGTACCTGTGATTATATAGGATTTGAAGAGAATGTTAGTGGTTTATACACACTACAATAAACCTGTTTCTATAGGATTTGAAGATAATGTTAGTAGTTTATATTCACTACAGTGTACCTGTGTTTATAAAGGATTTGAATATAATGTTATTAGTTTATACACACTACAATAAACCTGTTTCTATAGGATTTGAATATAATGTTATTAGTTTATACTCATTATTTGCTGTGTGATCTCATCTGAGCCAATATTATCTAGTAAATCCATAAAATAATCAGGATTTTCTCCAGCTTTGGTGGTTCTTGCTGCTCTGGCAGTGAGATGTTCTACAGGCCTTTCTGACATTTTGAGGAAAAACTGATACAAAGTAAGTTGCAATAATTGACTTACTGTTTGGCAACATATAGTGGAATGCTAATGGACAACATTACTATAAAAATTTGTGATCCAACATCTTGGGAAAGAATTTTTAAAACAATAATCCATGTATGTACCAGTTGTAATAAATGTTTTATGTGGTTTTAGTGATGTTGCTCACAATACCTCTACCAAATCTCACTTTAGATTTGATGACTCAGGTTTGTTCTGTACTTTCTCTCTCTCTCTCCTTTACATTTTGATTTTTCCCATTCCTTACTACATGACTCTCATGCTGAGGATTATTTAACTTTACCTTTTCCAGGCATGTGAGTTCATGTTGACATATTTCTTGATCAGCTTCATTCTCAACCTTAAATGCCTCATCCTCCTCAACTCTAGGATTCCTTTGCAATGTCCTAGGGCCATTTCCCTTTTTCATTCATAGAGTCCACCCTAATTATTTGGTTGACTGACCCACTGTCTTTCATTCATAGAGTCCACCCTACCTACTTGGTTGATTAACCCACTGTCTTTCATTCGTGGAGTCCACCCTACCTACTTGGTTGATTAACCCACTGTCTTTCATTCGTGGAGTCCACCCTACCTACTTGGTTGATTAACCCACTGTCTTTCATTCGTGGAGTCCACCCTACCTACTTGGTTGACTGACCCACTGTCTTTCATTCATAGAGTCCACCCTACCTTCTTAGTTGACTGACCCACTGTCTTTCATTCGTGGAGTCCACCCTACCTACTTGGTTGATTAACCCACTGTCTTTCATTCGTGGAGTCCACCCTACCTACTTGGTTGACTAACCCACTGTCTTTCAT